GTTTTATAATATCTGATTCAGCACTCCTGCTCGTGTTTTATAATATCTGATTCAGCACTCCTGCTCGTGTTTTATAATATCTGATTCAGCACTCCTGCTCGTGTTTTATAATATCTGATTCAGCACTCCTGCTCGTGTTTTATAATATCTGATTCAGCACTCCTGCTCGTGTTTTATAATATCTGATAAAGCACTCCTGCTCGTGTTTTATAATATCTGATAAAGCACTCCTGCTCGTGTTTTATAATATCTGATTCAGCACTCCTGCTCGTGTTTTATAATATCTGATTCAGCACTCCTGCTCGTGTTTTATAATATCTGATAAAGCACTCCTGCTCGTGTTTTATAATATCTGATTCAGCACTCCTGCTCGTGTTTTATAATATCTGATTCAGCACTCCTGCTCGTGTTTTATAATATCTGATTCAGCACTCCTGCTCGTGTTTTATAATATCTGATTCAGCACTCCTGCTCGTGTTTTATAATATCTGATTCAGCACTCCTGCTCGTGTTTTATAATATCTGATTCAGCACTCCTGCTCGTGTTTTATAATATCTGATTCAGCACTCCTGCTCGTGTTTTATAATATCTGATTCAGCACTCCTGCTCGTGTTTTATAATTAACAAATATAAAACATTTTCCGTGTTGATATACAGTTATATCAACACGAGTGGAAATTGGGAAAACGAGAAATTGTGTGGAAACATGACGCCCGAAGGGCGGAGTGTTTTCACACAATTTCGAGTTTTCCCAACTTCCACGAGTGTTGATATAACTATATATCAATACGGAGAAAATGTTTTATATTTGTTTTATAATATAGCAATGTCAAAAGCCCGAAGAATAAGAACAATTTCCGTGTTACAAGCGGCGGAAAATTTCCCGTGTTGACATGGAGTTATATCAACACGGCTCTTAGCCAATCAGCGTTCAGAATTTACAAATGCTATATTATAATATCTGATAAAGCACTCCTGCTCGTGTTTTATAATATCTGATAAAGCACTCCTGCTCGTGTTTTATAATATCTGATTCAGCACTCCTGCTCGTGTTTTATAATATCTGATTCAGCACTCCTGCTCGTGTTTTATAATATCTGATTCAGCACTCCTGCTCGTGTTTTATAATATCTGATTCAGCACTCCTGCTCGTGTTTTATAATATCTGATTCAGCACTCCTGCTCGTGTTTTATAATATCTGATTCAGCACTCCTGCTCGTGTTTTATAATATCTGATTCAGCACTCCTGCTCGTGTTTTATAATATCTGATTCAGCACTCCTGCTCGTGTTTTATAATATCTGATTCAGCACTCCTGCTCGTGTTTTATAATATCTGATTCAGCACTCCTGCTCGTGTTTTATAATATCTGATAAAGCACTCCTGCTCGTGTTTTATAATATCTGATAAAGCACTCCTGCTCGTGTTTTATAATATAGTTAATATCTGATAAAGCACTCCTGCTCGTGTTTTATAATATCTGATAAAGCACTCCTGCTCGTGTTTTTTAATATCTGATAAAGCACTCCTGCTCGTGTTTTATAATATCTGATAAAGCACTCCTGCTTGTGTTTTATAATATCTGATAAAGCACTCCTGCTCGTGTTTTATAACATCTGATAAAGCACTCCTGCTCGTGTTTTATAACATCTGATAAAGCACTCCTGCTCGTGTTTTATAACATCTGATAAAGCATTCCTGCTCGTGTTTTAAAGCCTGGTTTCCATATGGTCGTAATGGTTGTAAAAATAGAGTCATGATCTTTCTCAACGACCAGTTTTATTATAACCTGATTATGGATTTAAAACATATAAGTATTTTCTTACTAGTTATAATCTTATAATCTATAGTTATAAAAACTCGTCTTTTCAGTTCTAAAATATTCTATTTCGGCTGATGAGAAAGATCGTGACTCAATCTTTACGACCGTTACGACCATATGGAAACCTGAGGCTTAAATAGTACTTTAAAAATCAGTAATAATTCATGAGGAAAGACAAAGGAAATCACAGCCGTGTCGGTGGTTTTATATGTGATAAAAAATCATTATTGACATGTTAATTTACATAAACTTTAGCAGTTTAACAAGCTAACACCATGCATTAACACTGCCTTCCTTGCACCCTTGGCCGAATACAGAATATCAGAACCCCTCGAACGTCTTCCGTTAGAAGACCCACCAAAATTTTTGGAAGTTACTGAAGAACGTGTTCAAAAAGTTCTAGCGAAACTAAATCCTTACAAGGCGCCTGGACCAGACAATCTACCAAACTGGATTTTAAAGAATATTCTTATCTTTTGGCCCTTCCTGTCATGAAAATTATCATTGCTTCCTATTACGAACAGCAGTTGCCTACCATCTGGAAGAAAGCAAATGTTTCGCCGTTACCCAAAAAAAAACAGTGACTATATTGGAAAAAGATCTCAGGCCTATTTCCCTGACCCCCTGCATCTCCAAAGTGGCAGAGGAATTCATTGTTGAGGATTATGTTAAACCGGCAATTCTAGACATAATCGATGCTAGTCAATATATGGAGCGATTCCAAACTCGTCAACCACTATGGCGTTAATTAGTATGCTGCATCACTGGTTTATAAACACTGACGGGAATGGGGCAACAATAAGGACAATATTGTTTGATTATCGCAAGGCATTCGATTTTATCGACCATACAATTCTTGTAAAGAAACTGGGTAATTTGAACATACCTAGAAGTATAATTAACTGGATAATAGATTTTCTTTCTCATAGAACGCAGAGAGTCAAATTGGCCGATAGCTGTTTTTCTGAGTGGGGCCTTGTTCCGTCTGGTGTACCGCAAGGTACAAAGCTAGGTCCATGGTTATTTATTTTAATGATCCAAGACCTGAATATTAATTCCCCATACCTGCAGAAGTTCGTGGATGATACCACAGTATCGGAAATTCTGCCCAAAGGCAATGTTAGTACAGCCCAAAACATAGCAGATCATATTAAGCAATGGTCAGAAGAAAATAGATTAAAGCTACATCCAGACAAATGTAAAGAATGGAGAATTTCGTTTAGTAAGGACCCAGTTGTTCTAGATCAAGTCATACTTAATGGTAAAGAAGTCGAAATAGTCGAAAGTGCTAAATTATTGGGAGTAACAATAAGTAACAATCTAACTTGGCATGTCCATATAAAAGAGGTCGTCAAAAAAGCCAGTATAAGAGACTATATTATCTGGTTCAATTAAAAAGAGCTAGGTTACCAGTTAAAGATCTTGTGTTATTCTATACGTCTTGCGTTAGATCTGTCATGGATTACGCAGTACCAGCCTTTTATCACTCCCTTCCACAATACTTAAAGAACGAATTGATTCGACTGGAAAAAAGGGCTATTTCAATAATAAATCCAGGAATGGACTACTCTGCAACGGGAGAAATTTTGAACATCAAACCAATAGAAGAATACCATAATTTCTTATGCAAAAACTTGTTTGATAATGTTACAAAGGATCCAAACCACAAACTTTATGACCTCCTCCCACAGAAACATAACTGGCACCACGATCTCAGAAATGGTCATGAATTTGACATTCCTCATTTTAATACTAATCGTACTAAAAACTCTTTTATATTTGCAATGGCATCGAAGATGTCTTCGTAACGTTAGTGGTATCTTTTTTATTATCATCCTAGTAAAATTTTAAATATTTGCATAATTTTAACTTAATAATTATAATATTAATTAAATAGTAATTCGTATTTTGTAAACTTTACGTAATTCAGCCTGTGGCTGCAATGTAAATGTTTTATTAAACTATCTATCTAAACTATCTATCTATCTATCTATCTATCTATCTTTAATTTTCTCGGCTTAGACAATTAACGTTTATTTTAAAAATTACTTCGCCATGCACTCATACGATGGTCGTTTTTTTAAATCACTTAAAGCACGCGTATAAGAGTGCTTTAAATATCAGATATAAAACACTCGTGCTGCGCACTCGTTTTTATATCTCATGATAAAACACTATACATGCAGGGTGTATAAAAAAACCTGAACAAATTGCTCTCAATTTCGCAAATCACCTATTTGTATCTGTTTTTTTATATATATAGCCTTTTTAGGTACTTATAATGTAGAATTATTCAAAATACTTGCGATAGATGAACCAGGCGGAAATCGTAATCTTAGGATAAATATTAATGCCCAGCATAAAACACGTAAAAGAGCCATAACAAAAATATAGTTTAAAATATTTATTTGAAAGCTGACGTTTCGTCTTTAACTTAAGACATCTTCAGAGCAATGACATACAAAGCGGAAAACACAGAAATATGAATAAATTACAACTATTTACAAGATATTATATTACAAAAGTAGAAAGAGGAATGGATCAGAGTAGAAGTAGAGGGACCGAGCTGCCCTGTAAGTTGAGACAGGGTTTGAGTTTGTTAATGAGAAGACTTTCTCGAATGAGGAGTTCGTCTGGAGAAGAGCAACAAGAAATAATCTTAAAATCATTAAGAGAGGCGGAGTGACCAGTGCTATCAAGATGGGAAAGGATACTAGACATGGTCGGATTGCTGCTTTTCCTGCCTGTTAGAGGAGAAACACCCAAATGTTCAGAAACTCGTGTGTGCAAGTGACGGATCCGTCACTTGGACAAAATTTCTTGAACTCAAATTTTGTGAACCAGGGGGGGGGGGTGTCTTTTCCAACAAACTAAAAATGGCTCGCGCACAAAATTTAAAAATTGTAATCATATTTTGAGTTAATGGATGGAATATTTGTCGGGTTTTTAATTACTGTACAAAATTTCAGACAATTTGGTTTGGTTTAAGCCCTTTAAATATTCACGCAAAGTTACATTTTTCCTAAAAATCAGCTATTTGCATGCTTAATTAATGCCTTTGCCTAATTTGCATATGTTAGCAATATGCAAATTAGGTAAACGCATTAATTAAGCATGCGAAAGGCTGAATTTTTAAAATAAAATGAATAGTTAAAGGACTTAAACTCAACCAAATTGTCTGAAATTTTGTACATGCAGTAATTAAAAACCCGATAAAGTTTCCATCTATTAACTCAAAATATGATTACAACTTTGAAAGAAAAGAAATTGAAACATTTTAAGATAACAAATTATATATATATATATATATATATATATATATATATATATATATATATATATATATATATATATATATATATATATATATATATATATATATACTCGTGGAGAAGAGCGGCAGCGAGGAAGACAATTTTAAAAATAGGTACGCGCTGCGTACATGTGGGTAGCTTGCATTAATTGTTGTTAAAGCTGGAGTAATACCGAGGTTGGAGTAATACGCGCAACAAAATTGCTGCAGCCGAAATTTCTGCAACAAAATCTGATTTCAACGCATTTTAAGTAGAAATGTTGACAAAACATTTCAATTAACATGCGCAGCAATCAGATTTTGTTGCAAGTTGCAGCAATTTTGTTGCCCATATTAGTATATTACTCCACCTTAATTGCTATTGTCAAATTCCGAATTTACTGAAAGAAAGTATTAAGTAAATTGAACACAATTCAAATATTATACACACATTTAATCATACTGAACATCAGATATGACAAAAATACGTAAACGACTGTTACGTGCATTTTTCAATAAGCATAAACAGATTTAAGAAGTTACAAAGTATTTTAATGTGTCAAAAATAATTTGCACACTGAACAGACAGAACAGTACAAGGTCTTTAATATGTATACGAAACAAAATACATCACACGCCGAAATACAGACAGTACGAAAAACACTTAAGACAAGAACAGTTCTTGTTCAAGGACAGCATGCATCAAAGACAAAGGATCAAGTTTACAGGCTGCGTATATACAATTTTCGTGAAGTTTGAGTTTCAAGGATAGTCCATGCAAAGATCTAAGGACGATGTTTTCCGGCGGAATTGAAAAAGATCAACATATTCTTTA